CGTTTGTTAATCCAAATTTTAAATATCCCGATCGTGCATACGAATTTGATGATATCCGGGCAGAGATCCAGTTTAGAAAAATAGTGTGTCGCGCCCAACTCGTCGAACAACTCGTGTGCTGTAGGAATGGTAAAATGATATGGGACCGTGATGGCATTCAAGGCTCTGTAATCGACACAAAAACGGTACGTGCCATCCTTCTTTTTGACGAGCAAGACTGGGGAAGAGAACGTGCTTCTACTTGGCTAGATCAACCCCCATGTTAGCATCTCCTGGACAAGGCGCTCGATTTCATTCTTTTGAAACTGGGGATATCGGTACGACCGCACATTAACCGGTAGAGTGCCTGGTTGTAAGAATATCCGGTGGTAAACTGGTGGGCTGTGCAAACACCGAAGCATGTTTTTGTAAGACTCGCTCGATGTCACCCGGCAAATCAGTCGGCCAGAGCTCTCCCTCGGCAGGCACGCTGTTCGGACTTGGAGAAATCAACACTTCGTAGCATGCCGCGACTTGGTTGGCGGTACACAGACCGTTCAAATGATGCAGGGACAAGGGTATAGGAGAGATAGGGTTGCCGCTCAGTTCACACGCGAGAGCAAACGAAGCGGATAAGGATCCTGGTTTGTGGAACATAATCTCGTGTTGGAGGTGAGATTTCAACCTGACGTGGAAGAGAGATTGAAGATTGTCCTCGACTACACTCGTCACATTAACCAACACTTTTTCACCTGTCACATCCCGATGTGACGAACTTTAAAGAGAAGGCCAAAATAATCCACGTAACTCAACGTGTCAAAACGAAGCTTGAATCGGGAGACAAAATCAGCCCAAGTAGGAACAAGGTCGTTCCTTTGCCGCTAACGAAACCAGTCCAAAGCCGGTCCGTCAAGAAGAAGTATTCATTCACTTTGAACAACCACCCTAGCAGATTGGTACCATCCGTTTTAGGCATCTCGAGCTTCAACCTGGACGTAAAGGGAACCGGCCAAGGGCCACCGCCTCCACCCATGCGCGCCGGTGTACCACCAATGCTTGGGTTTTTCTCGAGACGGGTGAACAGTGCCTGCAAACTACTGCTAGAGCTGCTCCATGGTGGAATTTAGGGTTTGCATGGTTGTAGTGTGCGCCAAAAGTTGGAGATCAATTTGCTGCTAAAAATCCCAAAAATCGGCATCGGTGACCACTTTAGACGACATGAGTAATAAATGAAAGCACCAATGAAACGTATAAGTATCGGTAGGAGAGACTTGGAGCATCTCTGAGCTCGAACAAGAAGAATGAGAGGAGATTAGGGCAAGATTAGGGTTTATTATTTATGATTCAATATGGGGGTGGACTCCCTATTTAAAGAAAAGACGTAAGCCCTAAACCTAAAACTACGTTATCTATCCTGACGGTTCAAGAAAAGCGACGAGGTACGCCTAGTCGGCGGCTCCTCGTGTTGTGCCGGATCCATAACATGTGCATACCCGTCCCCAAATTCAATGTGTGGAGTCATTCAATTTTAATGGCGTCAGAGAATGGAAGACGATGAAGATAGTGAGCTTGTTGAACAACCAAATAGTCCGAAAATATGCTAGGGAACCTTAAATGTGGAATTGTAAGTCCTTTATTTATGCATATTTATTTGTTTGTTTAGGCAAAATTACCAAAGTTACTCCCAAATTAAATTTGATGTCATTTTTTTTATTGGGCCATTACCAAGTGGTGGAATTTTTCTTTTAGTAAATCTATATTAAATTTGATATTTTGGGTTGAGTTTTGTATGATCCGAAATTTTCGGATATCCAAATTTTCGGATCGGATCAATCCGATTGAACACCCCTATAATACAGTGGTGATATATGTCATTTTTAATGGGTTGGGGTTGTCAAAGATGAAAAGAATATATTGAAAAGTGTGGAAATTGGAAAAGGAAATTAGAAATTTCAAATATGAGAATGGAGAAACTAAATTTTACGGAGTACTTCAAAGCAAGTTTTTTATAGCTATTAGGGTAGTTATTACTGCTAGAGTGCAAGGCTAGGTACCACCATGGCTAGCTATAATCATTAATCATTGCAACTAGTTAGGGTCTAGGCTCCTAGCTACGAGATGAGCATTTATTAGTGGCGTTTCCTTCGATCGCTACTAGAGAAAAGTGACATACTATATTTGTATTGGTTGAGTCTTAATTTTTTGGAAAATGTTGAGGTACACCAAAATTGTATCCCAAATATTCCCACCTCTCTTAAACAACCGATGCATTTGTTATATTATTAATTTAAAAAGAGTATTAGCATCGGTTGTTTAGCTACAAGCCGTGTAGTATGATTTATTTGCTTCACGTAAGAAAATAGAAAGAATGAAGTGACGTATTCCAGATGGGACGAGATGGTCGGGATAAATTTGTGATTTTGAATTATTATTTTTAAAGATATAAATTAACTATGTTTTGTAATTTTAATTCTTAAAGCTTCCGCAACTTTAAATACTCCGTTACTATTCCAAATAATCTATTATGAAATAAAATTTGGAAATGTTTGAAATGTTTTGAATGTTTACGAATACTAAGTTTATATTTTAATCCAAAAAAGATGCAGACCAGAACGAATTAGGGTGTTACAACATAAACATTGGAATGAGACTATGCTAATGGCCAAACAGCCTATCACTCTGTAATAAACAAAAATATATAGATATTCCAACGTTTTATTTCTTCTAAACAAATTTCAATAACTTAATGGGTAGGTGTAATCTTATACCATTTTATTAGTGTAAGATTGTCACACCAATTTAATTGGAGCCGCCACGGTGCTCCAACCGTAAAATTAATTGTTTTACCCCCTAGCACACCGCCCCGTCCCCAACGCACGGCCACACCCCCACTACCAAATGTTTTTTACTTTTGGATCTTATTTTTTTATTAAAACTTGGTGTAATGAAATTGGTTGAAATGTGGGTATAAGTTGGGGATGGTGCAGGCTAAAGGGTTTACCGAAAGATTTTTTGAATATGAACAATCAATTTTACGATTGGTGCATTGCAGTTGTTCCAATTGAATTGAAGTAACAATATTGTTACACCAATAAAATACGGAGTAGTGTAAAATTATCTCGGGGACGGTTTTCATGATATTGGTTATCATTAGATGACCCTGGGTGCTTTGGTGCCCTGTTCATAAATTTGACGGTTCCTACCCCCTACCCCNCAATTGCATCCCCCAAGGTAATTTTGGTTTGAAGTCAAAATTTGACCCTAATGTCAAAATTAACTTGGGGTGCAATTGAAAGAGGTGGGGTGTGTTCAAGTCAGGGCAGGATGGGGGTTACTAAAGGGTTTGGGAGATAGAAATCATCAATTTTACGAACACACCCTGCCCAAACCCCCGGTGTCCCGTTCGTAAAATTGACGATTTCTATCCCCCAAACCTTTAGTAACCTCCTCCCCGCCCTGAACACACCACACCCCCTTTAATTGCACCTAAGTTAATTTTGATATTGGAGACAAATTTTGACTTCAAATCAAAATTAACTTGGGAGATGTAATTGAAGGGGGTGGGGGAAGTGGAGGGGGATTTACTGGGGGGTTAAGGGGTAGAAACCATCAAATTTATGAACAGGGCGCTGGAGCACCCCAGGGTCATCTCATGAAAACCAGCCCCTGGATAATTTTACACTATTTTATTGGTGTAAAAATATTGTTACTTCAATTCAATTGGAACAACTACAATGCACAAATCGTAAAATTGATTGTTCATACCCCAAAATCTTTGGGTAAACCCTCTAGCCTGCACCATCCCCGACGGATACCCGCATCCCAACCAATTTTATTACACCAAGTTTTGATAAAAAAAATAAGATCCAAAAGTAAAAAATATTTGGTGCAAAGAATTTAGCAGAGGTGCAACCGTGCGTTGGTGACATGCGTTGGTGACAGGGCAGTGTGCTAGGGGGTAAAATAATCAATTTTACGGTTGGAGCACCGTGGCTGCTCCAATTAAATTGGTGTGACAATCTTACACCAATAAAATGGTACGAGTATAAGATTAAACCTCTTCATTAAGTTATTGAAATTTGTTCAGAAGAAATAAAAAGTTGGAATATCTATATATTTTTCTTTATTACGGAGGGAGTATAATTCTACGTCAAAGATTAAAGTGATTGGAGGTAAAAAAAATTAGGGAGATGCTAGGCGTACACCTTTAGTGTACCCCAAATGTACACCACCCCACTCTTTACCATTCATTTTATTTTTTTTTGTTTTTTATTTTATTTTTTTTTTTGAATTGTACTTGCATTTTTATGTGGTTATAAAGGAGTGAGGATATTTGGAATACAATTTTGGTGTACCCTTATCATTTTCCAAAAAATTAAGACTCAACCAATAGAAAGATAGTAGTTCACTTTTCTCTAGTAGCGATAGAAGGAATTAAAGAAACGGCACTAATAAATGCTCATCTCGTAGCTAGGAGCCTAGACCCTAACTAGTTGCAATGACTAATGATTATAGCTAGCCATGGTGGTACCTAGTGTTACACTCTAGCAGTAATAACTACCCTAATAGCTGTAAAAAAAACTTGCTCAAGTACTCTGTAAAATTTAGTTTCTCCATTCTCATATTTGAAATTTCTAATTTCCTTTTTCAATTTCCACACTTTTCAATATATACTTTTTGCCCCAATTTAAATTCTATTTTTTGATTTATGATTTTTGACTAAGCTTATTTTCAAATTTTCTTATATGAAATATAGTGTAGAGTTATAAAATAAATGTTTCATATTTAAAAACTATATCAAAATAATTATAAAATTAGTAGCAACATGACTATAGTATTTTATCAAATCACACATATAAAATAGGAAAAAAAGAAAATAAACTTTGTCACTGTTGATGGCAAACTATATCAGATCAGGTTTAGAACAGTCTAAATATTGAAAAGCACAAGAAAATAGAGAATATTGTAGGTGAAAAGAATTGTAGTCCAATTGATTTTAAGAATATTGGAGAGTGTTGAGAGTTATTACCATAGTTTTAAAAACCGTACCGGAAACCAGGGGACCGGTCACCGTACCAATCCGGTTGGAAGGGTCAGACCGCAACATGCATCCAACACCTGTGAACCGGCATCAACCGGCGGTAGAACCGGGAAACGCTACTGGTTTTTTCGATTGGAACCCTAGGTCACACAGGTCTGAGATGTGGCAGCGTTGATGACCCCACTTTCGAACCGGAAAACGCTACCGGGAAACGCTCCTAGATGACGAAGTCTACTGGCTGTGGAAACTTGAGCTCCGCATGTATCTTTTATCAATATTAACGGCGGAGAGAGATAAAGGTGAAACGCCGATGTTGGCAGATTTGGAGTGGAGACTCAACGCCGATGTTTTGAATCTGATTTTGACGGCGGATGTTTCGAGCTTCAATAGCTAGGGTTTTGATCGGATGAGTTCAAGATTTGATAGGTTAGTAAGATTTGTTTAGGATTTCGTATACCACGCATTTTTAATATTTTTGTGCATTTGGGTTTATATGGGCTTTATTTTTTGGGCTCCATTACTATTATGTTTTTGGGCTTGTAGTTTTATTTTTTTTAATCATGAATAATTATATATATATATATATATACAAACATACATACATATAGGGGCTGGTTCCTGTAAAAATGCACCTTGTGGAGAGAAATGAGAATAAAATCTAGCCATTAAATCTGATGCATCGTGTATCTCAGATTGCATCTTGCGCTCAAATTTTGAGATAGTGCATTTTCAAAGGATTATGATGCATTTCGATGTGATGCATTTTCAAACCATTTTGTTGCACTTAATTTTGATGTAATCCTGACCCTTAAATCGCACAATCTAAAGCATCAGATTCATTCTCATTTCTCTTTTAAGATCACATTCTCCCCAGATTCAAAATCTATACATATATACATATATACATATATATACACACACACACACACACATATATATACATATATTTATATATATATATACATATACATATATACATATACATATACATATATACATATATATGTATACGTATATACATCTATACATACACACACACACACACACACATATATATATATACATATATACATATATATACACACACACACACATACACACACACACACACACACATATATATATATATATATATTAGAATATGTATGAACAACTAGTTCAACCACTTGAACCACTAGTTCGACCAGTGAACCACTAAACCAGTTTCGAGACCGGTTCTAATGCCGGTCCGGTTTTAAAAATTATGGGTATTACAATGAGCACTAGAGAGATGAAATTCAAATCTCCTCATTCGAGTGTTACAGAGATATTTATAAGAGGGGTTAAATATTTAAAAAAATTATATCAAAAGGTCTATAAAATTAGTAGTGACATGACTACATTATTTTATTAAATAACTATTGAAAATTAAAAAAAGTAAATAAAGTTTATCCATGTGAATAATAAAAATGGAATATAATTTGGGACGGAGGAGTGCATTATTTTTTTTATAATCAATATTTTTATTTATAAATTGAGATATATTACTTCTTCCGTCCATTAATTTTCTCACTTTCTTTTTTGGGTTGTCTAATTTTTTTCCCCTGTTTCCTATTTTGAATTTTTTTTAATGAATATACCATTATACCCCTACTTTTGTCTATAATATTCATTTATTTCATCAAATCAAAGACTAGTGGGAAACACATGAAAAATCTTTATACTTTTTAACTTTTCTTAATCTCCGTGTGTCAAGTCAAACTCAGAAAGAAATTTTTGGACGGGGGAAATATAAAATATAGTAAAATTTAGAACTATATATTTTAAAATAGAATTTAAGATACTAAATTTAAATAATAATTAAATTCATTTATATATCCTAAAATGAATGGTATGACATTCTTTTTTCATTAGTCCAAAATATAAAAATTTTGCTGTAATATTTTTATTAAAATTTGATTAGTGGAAAGGAAAAGATTGTGAATTATATACTCTTTACTCTATAATGAAAGTAAAAAGTAAAAAATATTTTGAGAGGGTAATTGAAAAAGAATGTGAAATGATTCATTTTTGGGGGATCGCTTAAATGCAAGACTTTTGGAGATAGTTTTTGTAATATTAGAAAAAATTGTATAATCGTCACATCTTTACATGTTTTCCTAATAATAATATCACCTTTTAATACTTCTTTGGTCCTTAAAAGATTACCGCAATGTGACTCTTTTGGTCAAGCAGTGGCACACTTTCACCACGAATTAAATATAGTTTGATCAAAACTTAGCTTTTTGTATATTAAATCTAATATTCCAAAATTAATATTATAACTAAATATACTTTTTCAACAATATGCAATCAAAGGGTGCTACACTGCTACAGTTTGACCAAAAACGTCAAACTATGGAAACCTTTAGGGGTAGGAGTATTTTCTTTATTCTTGCAAACACTTCAATTCATACTTTGATTAATTGAAGAAATGAGGATTGTATATTTGTAGTGGACTTTATAATTTTACCTTAATGTAATTGGTTAAAGTAAGATATGATAGGTAAATTATTAGTAAAATAGTACTCAGTATTATATAAAAATAAGTAGGATAAGAAAAAGTATGGTCAAAAGTAATTTTTTAATAGAAAGTTGAAGTGCATTAGGAAATAGATAAAAATCAAATATGAAGTGTTTTAAGAAAGATAGAGATCATTCACGTATGTAATAATATCACTTTTCATGTGCGTTTGAGTTTTGAGTCACAGTTTAATTTGAAATATAACTGTGACCTAGGGGGTTTTTTCTAGTAATTTTATTTCATTAAAGTCATGATCCTTACTTTATTCCCTAGCCTAGCTAGGGGTGAGTGTTGTACAGTTGGCAAAGGCAAGGATTACTAAAGGAGTAGATCTGAATTTGATTTTGGGCAACTGTGCTAAGAGACAACTATGGTTACAAACATAAGAGCTCTGCATGTAACACCCCAGCCCCACTCTGGCCGTAAGTGTCTGCTCATAGGATTGTAGACTGGCCCCACAAACCAACACACGTCTTCCCCGCACACTTTGTCCTCACTCGTGTGCGGCCAAGGAAACTTCCCTGGGGTCACCCATCCTAAAATTGCTCTAGGTCAAGCACGCTTAACTTTAGAGTTTCTAAGTGATGAGCTCTCGAAAAGAAGATGCACCTTGTTGGTATGAGTAGTACTATCAATCCTTTTGAGTTCTTCGCATTTCCATCTTGATACGTGGTATTACATTCAGCCCCACTTAGGAATGCAACATCCTCGTTGCATCCTTTTTTCTTTTTTAAACCATTAGATATTCCCCGCTAGGTGAACTAAGCTCTTTTTGGCCCGTCACGATCACATGGTTGCTCTAATACCATTTGTAACACCCTGGCCCCCACCCTGCCGTAAGTGTCTACTCACAGGATCGCCCAAGGAAACTTCCCAGAGGGGCACCCATTCTAAAATTGCTCCAGGTCAAGCACGCTTAACTTTGGAGTTTCTAAGTGATGAACTCTCAAAAAGAAGATGCACCGTGTTAGTATGAGTAGTACTATCAATCGTTTTGAGCTCTTCTCATTCACATCTTGATACGGGGTAGTACACTGCAAGTCCATTATTTACCTGAATTTAAAACATTGCCATTAATGTCTCTCTTACCCCGCAATGGGTGGGAGCCTCTGAGGCCCTGTGTTAATGTTGTTGTTGTTAATGGAACCTTACACATCAAATATAACTGAGCACATTACATTGCATTGTTGGGTTTGGGCTCCCAACTATGTGTTTTAAAAGCCCATTTGGAGTGTAATACTCAAGCCCAATATTTAGTCCACATTTGATGAAAATTAAGGTTTAAGGCCCCGTTCCGTTCAACTTATTTTTTCTTATTTTTTCTTATTGTTATTAAAATCAGATCAGATCAGACCAAATCAGATCAGATCAGATCGAATTAGATCAGATCAGATAAGATCCAATCAGATCAGATCAGATAAGGACTTATTAAAATCAGATCCCATCAAGAATTATTATTATTATTATTATTATTATTATCATCATCATCATCATCATCATCATCATCATCATCATCAGCATCATCATCATCATCATCATCATCATCATTAGTATTATTCTTAAAAATGAAAAAGAATAAACTTTAGAAATAGGTTAAATAGAAAACTGAGAAAGTAATCCTTAATTATTAGACATCGGAAAAATTAGTTTTAAAATACATTAACAATGTCAATCTAATTCTACTTTTAAAATATATTTTTATTGCTACTTGTAATTTGAGTTTCTAAACTTTTGATCTTTTATAAGGATGAGATATTTTAATAAAAATACTATCTCTTCTATATATTGATTATCTAAATTTAATTACTTTTTAATGTATATCTAAATTAAATATTTATTCTAATGTATAATTCTAATTTTACAAAAATATAATCATAAAATAAAAAATATTATTACATTATAATATGAATGATTATTCTAATATATGAATTAACTATTCTTATTTTATTAAAAAATAATCATTAAATAAAAAATATTGGTTATATTATAATATGAATTATCATTACAATATTCAAACGTTATATTAAAGTCAAATTAAATTATTGATTTGAATTTTAAATTAAATCATAATTAATCAGATCAGACCAGATCAGATCGGATCTAATCAGATCAGATCAGATCCAATCAAATCAGATCAGATCTAATCAAATCAGATCAGATCCAATCATATCAGATCCGATCCAATCATATCAGATCCAATCAGATCAGATCAGATCCAATCAGATCAGACCAGACCAGATCAGAACTTATTAGAATTAGATCAGAAAAAATAAGTTGAATGGAACGGAGCCTAAGTTGAGCGGTACAGCTGGTTGGAAAACAATTATTCACGCACAAAAAAAAAAGAGGAAAAACAGCCGCAAGAAAAGGGAGAAAAACAGCAGATAGCCGCTGCCATTTTCTACAAAACGCAGGTCTGATTTTTGGTCGATCGGAGGTCCAAATCTTGTCCGATCGAGCTGAAATTTTAGGAGGAGTCTAAGGACTTGTGGAGATTCAATCTGAACGGTGGAGATCGAATTTCAACGGTTCAATCTCAAGTTATGAGCTTCGCACCAGCTGCAATTTTTTTGGTGATTTCTTGCACTTTTGTTCATCTATTTTGATTCTAGTGCCTTCGTAGTGTTGTTAAGGGCTAGATATCATTGTGGTGCTGTTATATTGTGCATTTGTACTCTCAAATTGGTGGTAGTGGAGTTGGTTGGACCGAAGGGTCTCGTGGTTTTTTACTCTTTCACATTGAAAGGGTTTTCCACGTTAAAATCTCGTGCCTCATATCGCTTTACTTTTCGTGCTTGGATTATCTTGTTGCTTGGTGTTCTTTGGTGTGTTTGTTTGTTGCTCCTCATAGATTCATTCAAGAGGGAAAGGTGTTGATCTTGGGCACTACACATTCATTTGTGTTCTTGCTTTCCCAACATGCATGTTATTACAGCCAATCAAACTGCACCTTAAAATTTCTTTCAACAACTTCGTCAGAATCTTTGAACCTACTATGATAAATGTATGTATCTGTGTGTGTTTGCACGTGTGCGTGTATTGTGTTTTCACCTATCAATTTTAAGAAACAAGATTTACTATTTAAGGCTAAGAGTGGATTAAACTTCATCTTTTTTAGTATATATTTTCCCGAGGTTTATAATGTAGTAATGATGTTTTAGTCAATTTTCTGTACTCTTCCTGATAATATTTACTGCTAAGATCTTAATGTTTTTCTTGATGCCACCTTCTTGTTTCTGCAGCTCATCTTTTCTTGTTCTTGTCTCATAGTGGTACATTTTCTTTTTGTAGCTTATTAAACTTGAATTTGAGAAGGTTTATTATCCATATCTGTTGATCAGCAAGAAGAGATATGCTGGCCTTTTATGGACCAATCCTGATAAATTTGACAAAATGGATGCTAAAGGTAAGTGAATGGGAAACTGCTCTTTAACATGTCCTATTTGATTGTCCCCATCACAACCACCAAAGACACTTGTACACAAACGACAAACTTAAACAAACAATAAGACAAGTTCAGCAGTGTCATTATTAGGACCATCACTGTCCTGGGAATTGTTACCTTGACAGTGACACCATTGTTTTGCTTTCGTGCACAGGAATTGAAACAGTGTGAAGGGATAATTGTCTCTTGGTAAAGAACCTTGTAACTGAAAGCCTTCACAAATTATTGATAGATAGAGATGTTCCTGGAGCTGTTCAGTATGTTAAAAATACTATTTCTGATCTTCTTAAGAATCGCATGGATTTGTCTCTTCTCGTTATTACAAAGGTACATACAGTTTCCTTGAACTAAATGAGGTCTTAAGCATGGATTTAATGATACCCCATAGATGTTACACTCTTCAATTGTGTCATTAAATTGTGATTTTACTTTTAATAGGGCCTGACAAAAACTGGAGATGATTATGAAGTAAAGACAGCTCATGTTGAACTTGCAGAGCGGATGCGCAAGGTTAGGTGCAAATTTACATTTACACATGATCATTCTTTGAAATGTAAATAGAAGAGTGGTCTCTATCTAGTTGTTTTTCCGTTGGTTAGTAGCATGTTAGTATGTTACCTTTGGTCATTGAAGCTTTAAAATTGCAACCACCCTCCCCCGAGATTTGTTTCTTTCCGTAGGAAAAAGTTCAAGTAACTTCAATGTTTTGTGTGATAAATGCGTAAAACATTATACTGTTCTGTCCTGCAGCTGAAACTTGTTCTACCTGAAACTTGTTCTTCCTTATGACCGAATGTTCTAGATATATGTCTTATTTTATATCAAGAAGCTCAGGTGTCTTCTTTCACCTTTTACATTGGGTTCCACACCAGGAAGAAATGAATCACTTGCGTAGCAGAAATGATATTTGCACTCCAATTTTTGATATTGGTACTCCAAATTGCACTATTTACTCTCTCACATGAATAGTGTATTTTGGAGTGCCAATAACAAAAATATCTGTTTATACCTTTTGTCCTTTTCTAAAATTAAAATTCTCAAAAGATTAAAATGTTTGCTTAGACCTTTTGTCCGTTACTATTATGCACTCTTTACTCCAAAACATCTAACTCTGAACAATTTATAAAATGAATACAGTCAAACCTCTCTATAAGTCTATAACAACCACTCTTTATAATAGCATTTCAATATAATAACCTTTTTTCTTAAGTCTTCTCTTTAATATCCTTCCACAGGCAACACTTAAGAGGCCAGAAAAACAGCACATAAAGGGAGCAGCCCCTCACAGAAACTCATAATCTCAGTATAAGAAAAACGAATTAAACATCATGCCTCAGTAAATATCTGAAACCTTTCAGTCTTGAATCACAACAGATACCCACCTCTTGTTTAATCACTGTCTTACTCTCTTTTAATTTAGGCAACATCAAGGTCCTGAAAAAACTTAAAAGTTCCTGACCCTCCAATTTGCATAACATATTGAATCAGTGGCAGCATAAGTGTATATTTCTGTGTTCTTGTTATGTTTCTCTCAAGTATCCTCTTTATGGCTTTATGAATATCCCCACCTTGGTCCTACTTTTCATCCAGTCTAGAATCATCAATCCAAGTTGCACAGCATAATTATACTCTCACAAAAGATGATTCACTGTTTTATCTTCACCTCCACAAAGAGGACAGAGTACAGTTATCAAGGAACTTGACAACCACTCTTAAATGGAATTTTATTCTTTAAAAGGAGCCACATTATAATTGACGTTTTGATAAACTACTCTTCTTCCAAACAGCCGTATACCGCCATGACTTTTCAGTGTTCCCAATGATCCGGTGATAAGCTGCCTTTAGTTAAAAGTTATCTGCCCATGTGAATTGAACCTTATCATCTTGTCTCTCGCCTTGCACATCTTTTTCCAATACCAACAACAATCAGGCTTTGGTTGATAATTCCAGAAGACAGTCCTTTATGTACCTTTAGTTTATCCATCTTACCCACAGAACATTTTTTTTTTTTGAAGCTACATCCCAAATCAGCCCCATGATAGAGACAGCGTTCCAATTAGTCATATTCTTGAGTCCCAGTCTCCCCTTTCGTTTTGAGAGGCAGACATAATCCCATCTAACTATTGGGTTCAGGTATATAGTAGAGCTCCACATGAAGTTTCTACACACAGCTTGTACCTTCTTCATTACCATACTAGGCAACACAGAAGTTCTTGACCAGAAAGCAAGAATTCTCATTAGGGTAGAAGTAATTATCCTTATTCTCCCAACACATGTAAAGTGTCTAGAGGCCCAACTTGTTACTACCTCCGTCCCGCTATATTCGTCCACTTTTGACTTTTGGAACTGTTCATCTAAGCACTTTGACTCGCCAAATTCTCTCAATGTGTAAGCCTAAATATAGTCATGTGTGATCTTGTTTGATTTGACTTTACATATAGATTATTAATATATAATTTCTATAATTTTTTAATATACAAATTACAAGATTAAATGGATTAAAGAAGTGCATTGGATGGTGTGCAAAAATGAAAGTGGACAAATATAGTGGGACGGAGGGAGTATTTTAATAGTGAGCTTGGCAACCAAAGCCTCATATTCTCTCATACCCAGTTTAGAAGCAGTAGAGGGTACCAAGGTATCTGAAAGGAAATAGGAAATTCACCGTTCTTCATTTCAGTTTGCTGTAAAACCTCATCTTAAACCTGCTCCTGCACTCCTCCAACTATTACTTGAGATTTGTTGTACTTGAAGGCCTGAAGCAGCTTTAAAATTTTCTAGATCATCTATAATACACTATACAGATGCATAATCAGCTTTACAAACCATTATTATGTCATCCACAAAAAAGAGGAAAAGGGCAATGCTCCTTTTTTCTGTGTTTGTATACAATGTGTTTTAGGGACTTTGTTGCATTCCCCAGTTTTGGGACTTTGGTATTTTATCACCTCCATTGATGATTTCCCTCATTGTACTTGAGTATTTTTGTTGTATCAATGATCTGAAAGGTTCAATGTATTTGAAAAGTGGTCGATGATCCCCAGAGAAAGATACTAAGTTACTAACCTATCACAACCTCACACTGTTTCATCATTCCCTGAGACCTATCATTGTTGACTTAGGCAGCAATCAACTGATCAACCAAATGCCAACAAATCTTATGATTCATCTTCCAAGATGCCACCCTCACCAGAAACGGTCACCACCTCCCTCGCAAATTCTCCTGTTGAAAGTAAGATAGGTGACACGTCCGCTCATAATCTACATTTTATAAATTACTGTTGCCTCTCTGATCACCATCTTATTCTCTGGTCATTTTTAATTTTCCGTCTATTTTGGCATCCAAGCATGAATTTATGAACTGATAACTCCATTCGTCAGGAACTTAGCGGAATTGGTTCCTCACCACCCGATAGGGCAGTGGTTGGTTGTATGGGGCTTGTAATGTCGAAATGGAATCAAATGGTTAAGTAAATTGGCCCAAGGCTCACCTAATTGCCCAGGGTATACATACATGCTCTCGGTATTGATTAATAATACTTTTTGTCGGGGTGGGTCTTGGTTCGAGTATTCTTAACTATGGCTGCTATGTAAGATTGCCCCCTTTAACAATTAGACATAATGAATGGTTTGATGCATGGGAATTTAAGGATGAAGTTTATATGGAGCAACCCTTTGGGTTAGTTGCACAAGGAGGGAGAATTATTTTTGTAATCTGAAGCGCTCTTTTTATGGACTTAGCATGACAATATGCCTGGTTTGGGTGATTTAGTGCCGTAGTACAAAAGTTTGGGATGGTTAGTTAATTACTCGGTGTTATTTAGATATTTTTGTGGTCAAAGCATTTACATTGTGTTCGTTGATGATATTGGTATAACAAGAAAGTATGATGAAGGGATACTCTGGTTAAAGCAGCACTCATTTAGGCCTGTTCTATTCACCTTGTAGTTCCCGTGATCTAGAATCCGTAATCCAAGTATGATGAAGGGATACTCCTATGTGATTTTATTTAAATAAGTATTTTTCCTTTAAGTTCCTTTTTTTGTTTTTTTGAAATATGTAAGTTTCTTTCTTTAGTGCGCTTGTAATTTCCTTTTTTTCGATGCGCATGTAAGTGGATTTCCTGTAAGTTTGTTTTTTTCCTGCAATCGTTTCTGTAAATTCTTCTTTTTTAGTACGCTTGTAATTTGTTTTTTCTCAGATTTGTTTGTTAATAATCTGTTTTTTCAGTTGTGTACATGAATTTTTTCATTAATTTTGACTTCAAAACTTTTACATTTTATAAATATAAGTATTCAATATTATGTTTTTTTAGGTTTATTGACAGATTATTTAAATGTGCATGGAAATATGTCAGACCCTAATTTTAAGTCATTAGGCACTGATGAACTTTTTTTGCATTTCTCGATTTAAGTTCATCGTAGTCACGAACTGTTTGTATTGATTCATGCAACTTTTGTTATGTTTGAGATCTTTTAATTTCCAATATTTTTTAATGTGTATAGATTAATCATGTACTAATAATGTTCTATATTCATATTTAAATATGTTATATTCATATTTTTAAACCTTGAAATTGAGGCTTACGCCTTGAAACTGCAATATGCAATTTTGAACATTGCTAGAGACTAGGAGAACTATTGTACTTGACGATTACTCAACTCATTTTCTCATTTGTAGTGTGGTAAGTTAATTCTTAACATGCGAAGGCCATTGTGTCAGTCAGGATGTTGTGTCCTTGTTGGATGTAATCTAGTACTGGGCATCTTTGAAGTGCATGCAAAAAGCAAGATCTAGTTTCCTGGTCAAGTGCAGAGATCAAATATAATTTGATGGCTCTTGGAGCATGTGTGCCATTTTGGTTGAAACATCATCTTACTGAGATGAATTTCAATTTTGGATCTATGAAGCTAATATGCGATGATCAATCATCATTGCATATTGCATGCAAACTCATTTTGCATGAAAGATCGAAATATATCAAAGTTGATTGCTACTGTGTATTTTATTTGAGAAAATATTACTTGAGGGATCATCACCTTTTTCGATGGAACAAATGACCAGCTACCTGATATACCCATCAAATCTCTTAGAGGACCAAGAAATATCTGTGTGTGCGTGTCTGGGTGGGGGGGGGGGGGAGCTTATG